CAACACACTGATGGGCGGAGCACAGGCGGCGGAGGCGGAGCTCAGGAGGATTGGCAGCCCCAGGGCGCTGAACTAGCGCGCCTTTGGCCACGAAAAGGCCACATCTCGCTTCCTTAGGCCCCTGACTACTGCTTCCACTGGTGCATGTACTTCCATGCTTGCACCCACACTTTGCCGTAATCTCTCGCTTTGAGTGTGATTTGGTTTACAATTGACCAAGAATTTGGAGATTCAATGAAGAAATTTATTGGCTTGATAATGAATAGGTTTGGTAGTGCACAATTCGCTATCTTTTATCACTAGCTTCTCGTCGGACATTGCCGAATTAACGTGGAGGTTTGTCGCGGATCCCTCTCCTGAAATGATGTCCTTACAAATGAATCCACATAGTTACGATATGAACACTTACACTGTGTTGAAGCGACATTCGAGCGTCACAGTGTGTTTACCACTAGGTCGAGACGTTCCCATCGTGATACTGCATCCCACTTCTGTAGCTCCAAGGTGAAGCTGAATATAGGGACATTCAAGAAAATCCTTGTAGAGTTCCTCTGTTTTGGTTGCGCTTCATGAATCGTTATCAGGACGCGAACGGCTGCATTTGTCACATACCTCAGGTTGTGATAAGTCAGCGACTGTGCCCCTCAGTGCTTCGCCCAGGCTTTTGACGATCAATCTTGAAAAACGCAGGTATGATGATCAAGCCATTGTGTCAATTTAATAACCAGTACTACCGTTTGATAGGCGACAGTTTTCAGCTCGTTTTTTCTTCAGTAGAAAAGCATAACGAGAATACCTTTTTTCCTGAATCCATCATGGTTCGAGCTACCAAATTCTCCCGAGAAGGCTTCCATTCGATAATTGGCAGCTTATACACCTGTGAATAAGATGGTCAACTTCGGTTTATGGGCTTTGCTGAGTGCTGGCCAATTGAAGATGTAATTAATGTATATGTGTGACACAAAACTCAGAACGTCACTCAAAACACGTTCACATCGTTGAGATCTGCATGGCGTAAGGCTATTCGCGGAAACTATGTAAGTAAGATAATTCATAGGTGGGATACGCGAGATCATATGGTGACACTCGATGCCGCCCTCACATCGAATATGGTTTTGGAAAGTAAACAATACCACCCGAGTATATCGAAGAATTTCAGGCCTAATCATTGAGTGAGAACAACTGGTGTCACCTTGCGGTGTTACGTACGACACTAGATCGCTCACCAGATTTGGCATCCCATAGCCGCTGCGTTTCGAATTCAGGGCTTCAAGCAGCACTTTTTCGTATCTGTCAGGAACGTTGAACTTACATTCGTAATCTAAAAAAGAGAACAGTGAAGGAAAGGTCATAAGTTGACGAGAACGAAGGAAGCAGACCATCGGCATCTCCTCCAGTG